CTCAAAGCAGGTCGAGTTTACCATTGTCGACTTCAACTCGCCCCACAATGGCATCTTTGGTCGACCATTCCTCGCCAAGTTCATGGCCCTCTCATCGACATGCCATCAGAAACTCAAATTCCCTACCAAGGCAGGAACCGGAGAAGTGCACGGATGCCATGGGGAGTGCCAAAGGGAGAAGGAGAGGTCCTCTAGACCAACATCGTCGACACAAGGGCAGAGGATCCGTGTCCAGAATCCACGGACTCTGATTTTGAAGTCGAGCTCGACCCCACAGAACCAGTGAAGAAGGTCCGCATCTCAACCCACGTCCATAGTGACGTGATTGAGCCGCTGATAGTGATCCTAAAAGAGTATAAGGAGTTGTTCGCTTGGTGCGCTGAGGACATGCCGGGGGTACCAAGGCAAGTAGCTCAACATTGCCTCGCGGTTCCCGCAAACGCAAAACCAAGGCAGCATGCGCGGCTAACCATTTGCTTGTCCCCCAGCAAACCTAACTCAAACCAATGCAACTATCCAGACCTCTATAGCAACAAACAACCCCGATCGTCGGTAGAGGATTTTCTAGATCATATAGCAGCTTACGAGGTCAACTGGTCTTCTAAGACGTTCCCTATCTCTCTGAATGCGAGTACTAGACTCAAGCCAGGATCATGAGAAGAAGTAGAAGTAAGACAGTCAGTTCATGGATAAAGGGACTCATATCATTCTCAACCAAGGACTCATTGTACCGGGGTGCTCTTTTCACTTCATTTCACCGTTGGAACCCCTTTTTCACTTTCATTTTTCATTTTTTTTTCTTTTTCATTCACTTGGCGGGGGTTCCAACTGCAGTTTTTTGCACAGTCGACCCTTATTAGTCGAGCAAGAGCAATTTCTGTACATCTGGCGCTCGCCAGAGTACTTCTTTTAACTCCTTTTCCTCAACTCGTGTGGAGGGTCAATGAAATTAAGGGGGGGTCAGAAGCTCTATCTGTGCCCTTAAAAACACATCCTCAAGTAGGCAAACCGTTCAACGGGTGGAAGTTTTACATGTACTAGAGACAACTTAGCTTCACCTTGTAGGAGTACCCCACTAAGGATCACTAAAATCTCTTCCAAAACCCGATTTGGTGCAATGAACGGTGCCGCACACGTTGGGCTTACCCCCATGTTTAAGATTTAAAGATTTTGACATGGAGGACCAACTGCATTTTTCATTTTCCACATGAACACCCTGTTCGATACACGAGTCCATAACACAGTCCAAATAGAGTCACCATTATCACATGAATTCAATGGTCTTAGCTCCACTAATTCACAAAATCAACTGGCACAGCAGAGAGCTAGATAGGAAAAATCTTATACTTCAACATCCTCCATAGTGCTACGCTACCTCCCTAGGTTGCACATTACTATAGAGACTGTCAATTCAAAGCATACTGAGCAGGCAATTTGCAAAGAAACACGTATTTGGAGCCCTCAAATTTAAAAATTTGGACAGTGGACTAGGCTACAAGCACACAAACAGATCTAATGTAGTCAAAAGAGAAACATCCCCCCACACTTAAGATCGACATTGCCCTCAATGGAGAAGAGGGAATGATAAAGGGGAACGATGTTACCGGTGTGCACGGACTATATGAGACTGGAAGCGGACCAGTATGTGTGAAGAGGACTGGAGAGGGGACCAGTCAGGGACAAAGCACAGCTAAAGGGAACAGAAGAACTCAAACACAATCCATTAGGTCCAATTGTCAGCCCAATAATACATCATCCAAAACAAAAGAAAACAAACCAAAATCAAACCAGTTTACAATCCGACTCAAAACAAAAGAAATAAATGAAAACCACGGTGGGGTTGCCTCCCCACAAGCGCTTCTTTACCGTCTTTTAGCTGGACGCCCATGGTGGATACTCAGCGGGGTGCAGGAACAGGTGCCTCCAAGAGCGGATCCACATCGCTCTTGAGGTACAGCTTCAGATGGTGACCATGCACCCGACGGGTGCGACAACCAGCATTGGTTAGCTCGACCTGCCATCCGGCAAGATGCAGGCGAGGGAGTACTCGGATGGCCAGGGTGGTCGTGGTGCAGGAGGTGGGACCAGCTCATAGTGGTCTCCACCTTTCTTCCGAGCAGACTTAGCCACCTGCGTCTTCGGCTGCCACTCCTCCTTGAGCTTTTTATTGGGAATTGAGGTTGCCGGGAGTGGCGGCAAAGGCGTGAGAGGGGGGTCCTGCAAAACGAGATGCACAGGGGGGTACACGACAGGCTCGTGTACCAGGTGAGAAATAGCATGCATAGGTGTGACAGCAGGCATATCACAATGTTCAAGGTCAGCCACAGAAATAGTAGCTTGTTCATTCCCAACACGCAAGATCAGTTTACCACTATGCACATCAATTAGTGCCTTGGCGGTGGCAAGAAATGGTCTACCCAAAATCAAAGGCGCATCCACATCCTCATTTATATCCAGAACAACAAAATCAACAGAATATGTGAATGCACCTACTTTAACAAGCAGATCCTCTATATACCCCTAGGATGCACAATAGAGCGATCAGCTAACTGAATGCTCATCCTAGCATGGCTAAGTTCACCTAGGTCTAGCTTTTTAAACAGATTGTATGACATGACATTTATGCTAGCGCCTAGGTCCGCCAAGGACTTACCTACATGCATGCTGCCAATATTAAAAGGGATAGTGAAACTCCCTGGGTCCTTGCGCTTTTCGGGCAGGTTGTTCTGCAAGATAGCAGAACACTCCTCGCTCAGCATCACTGTCGAAAGATCCCCAAGTTTCTTCTTGTTGCTGAGGAGATCCTTCATGAACTTGCCGTACTTGGGCATCTTCGACAGTGCCTCCATGAAGGGTATGCTAACATCGAGCTGCTTCAACATTGTCATGAACTTGGCAAACTCAGTCTCCAGCTTATCTTTATGTAGTCGAGTGTGGAAGAGAAGTTGGGGTACATGCTCCTTAACCACTGGTTGTGGCTTGGGAGTAGGGGCTTCCTTCTCCACCCTCACTTCTACATCATCGGCTGGAAGTGTTGAAGCAGGCAGTGGCTCTTCCTCCCTAGCCTGGGCAGGTACTGCCGATGTGGACTTGCCAATCCTGATGGTGATGGCATTCAGCTGCTGGTGCGGCTCTCGTGGATTGGGGATGGTAGTGGCAGGTTGATGACTCGATATTTGCACATGTTTTCCCTTTGTTTCTTGATCGTTTAAGCTTGCATTATTGCTTCTTTGGCCTATTTTACGCTAGGTTGTGTTCATTTGTCACATTTCAGGTCCTAGCACATAAAGTGAAGCGTAGGCGCAAGTTTCAAGTCAATCGGAGATCAATTGGCGACTCGGGGGAAGAAACTCGGGTATGACTTGAAGAAGAAGGGATTTCTACCTCAGTTTGTGACCATATAATCATGTAATCTTGTCATGAGAAGAAAGAGGACGAGAATACGAGCATCTAAGATCAAACGGCACCTGATTTGGAGTTCGAACGAGGGAGAAACGAAGAATCAAAGATAGGGGAAAATTGGTTTCGGGCTTCTCTGAGAAACAGAAGGGGGCCCTATCGTGACACTAAAATCCCCGGTAGGGGATTTTTGGCCTTGATAGGGGATTTTCCCCTGTCTCCAGACGTTGCGTTTTCAAAAATCCCCTATCGTGAACCAAAAATCCCCGGTCATGAACCAAAATCCCCGGTCGTGACCAAAAAATCCCCGGTCGTGAACCAAAAAATCGCCTGTCGTGACCTAAAATACCCTACCGGGTATTTTGACCGGGGATCGCGAACACAGGCTGTTAAAAGCCTGTTTTGTGCGTTTTTGCAAGGGAGAGCTGGGTTTTGGATCCCAAACACGCTAGGGACAAACCAAAGAGAGAGAGGGAGATTTGAGGGCATTCTTGGAGTAGAATTGGAGGATTTCTTTGCCTTGGAAGCTCGAGGAACAAGCCCGGACTTGAAGACTGATCATCTGAAGATTCTTACTGTAGTCTCTCTCTTCTCTATGGAGTAACTTCCCTTCACTTAGGTTTTGAGGAACCCTAGCTATGTTTGTTTGATTGGATGATTGTATGAGTACTCTGACTTGATAATCTTGAGTTCATATTCAATCTATGCATGTTTTCATGATTCAATTCTGCTTTAGTCGAGATTATTGATTCTGCTTTGATCCTATGAGAGGGAATACCTGATTAGGTCAATAGAGCACCATAGATTGATAGTAGTGGATCGATTGCTTTAGTCGAGGGTTGATTCACTGCTTTGTATCGATTGAGAACCTCTTTCGATAGAGGGAGTCTAGTTCAGAACGCCTTGATCAGTTGTTCTAGAGAAGGATACGTCCCTCTAGGCAATTGACTCAAGAGGGCCTTGTTCCTTTAGTCGAGACTCAAGGTCTAGTCAAGGATTCTCCGCATTGTGAATGAAAGTGAAACAAGTTAGAAATCATCAATCGTTAGTCTGGCTAGTGGCTAGGGGGAATCATACCTAAGTGAGTTCCCAACCTGTAATTAGATTAACTTTAACTGTAGTTTGCTAGAGTAGTTTTAGTTCTTTCATCTTAATATGGTTTGCTAAATAATAAACTGAAGCTGAGTAATAGTAACTCTAGAGACCCGTGGATTCGATATTTATCACTTGAGCCACTATACTGCAGTCCCTTCCATTGGTTACACTTGGCCATTGTTAGGTGTTATGTCATAGCGAGTCAAGTTTTTGGCGCCGTTGCCGGGGACTTTCTAGAGTATTAGGAAAGGCAGAAGTTTGTTACTTTAGCGTTTTTCTTTTCTTTTCTTTTCCACCCTTGCTTTTCACTTGGGTGTTTTTGTTTTTGTTGGTGCAGATCTAAATCATGGATCCTCATGGCTTCTCCAACAATTGGGGGTATCCACCACCACCCGAGTGGTATTACCCCGAGACTCCCTGGAGCAATCAAGGAGGAGAAGACTATGGATTCGGGTTCCAGTACCAACCCCCTTACTACGGAGAACAACCGGACCCCTAGGCATATCAAGAACAACCTCATTACCAAGAAGAATTTTTCCCACAACCAGAGGGGCCATTGGAGCTGGAGTTACCCATGGCGGCCTTCACGGGCCATTCTGCAGAGCCATGCTACACTCCACAGCCAGATCCATACTATGAATTGAGACTTCTCATGGAGCAGTTTGCTCGAGACTGTGATAGAACATGCTCCAGGATGGATCATTGTGTCCAGGCCTATCGTGAAACAGAGGAGATCCTCCTGAGCCTTAAGAAGAGCATCGATGATCTTGAGCGATCTTGGGCACAACCTGCTCCAGATCACCCTTCTGCTACCATACTAGAAGGGGAGGAGGAAGAAGAAGGCTACAAGGACATTGTGGAACACACAGAAGTTGTCACGGAGAGCTCCCGTGATGGTCATGATCAGGAATGTCCTGTCGTAGCCGACCACGCCTTCCCACACCCCAAACTGAGCTTTGAAGAGGCGGGCATGAGTGAGGAGATGCAAGAAGATCTCATGAAAGAAATTGCTTGGAAACTTGCTCTCCAATCCGTGCTAGAAGAAGAAGAGCAAGAAAGGGTGCAGAAAGAAGTTGTGGAGGATGACGAAAGTGAAGCAGGAGGAGTTCTTGATCATTTCCCAGGGGTGATACCACATGAACAAGCAAGGGAGGTTGAAGAAGCAATTGGCGTCCAGGCTGAGGACGAAGTTGAGGTGGAAGAGGCTTGCACCGGCCATGAGTTACATTTGATATCTCCACCAAACTTCGAGGAACTACTTAGCAAGGATCCATTTGCAGTGTCTCTTTGCCATACCAAGGTCACGTCGACATCGGTCCCTCTTGGTGGACGCGATGGTGGTCAATCGGTGCTGTCATATCTGGTTTGGGGCAATGAGACGAGAGAAGAGAATAAGAGGTCTCGAGGGTGGAGACTTCATCTGCATCAAGTGCACGAGCTTCCATCTACTGTCATACCACATGCTCGTGACTTGAGATTCCACCTCATCGACGAGAACCTCAACTTCAAAGAGGTTTTGGGGTGGACCGAAACTTAGGAGCCATCGTCCGGCTCACGACGTGAAAGAAGCGCTTGTTGGGAGGCAACCCAACCAGTCGGTTTGCATTTCTTTCTCTTTTTCTCCTCGGTTGAGTCAGTTTTGTTATTTGATTTTAGAGTCAATAATTCAACCTTTGTGAGATTTTGTGTGGTGTTTTTGGTCTGACCATTCTCTCCTCCTGGAATACGCCGCTTGCCCCGTCCACAATCATTCACCCTGGATCTGGTAACTTCGTTCTACCCTCCTTATCTTTCCTCCATTGAGGACAATGTCGTGCTTAAGTGTGGGGGGATGTTCGATTATGTATCCGTGTGAATGTTTGACTGTTTGTGTGCTTGGAGCCTAGTCCACTGTCCAAATTTCGATTTGAGGGCTCCAAGTACGTGTTCCTTGCAATTGCTTGCTCAGTATGCTTTGAATTGACAGTCTTTATAGTAATATGCAACCTAGGGAGGTAGTGTAGCACTATGGAGGATGTTGATGCATTTAAGAAGTCTCATTTCTTCTTCATATTGTGTTGGTTGATTGAATGAATTAGTGATCTTAGGACCCTTGAATTGTGTGGTGTTGTGGACTCTCTACCTGTCATGGACTCTTGTATCATGTTTTGAAATAAAAGGTGCTCGATAATGTGCTTTAAAATAACGTCTCCGGTGCGAATAGGGTGAAAGTGTGTAAGGGGAGACGGGAATTCGTTCCCAATTTCCACCTACTACCTCCAGCCCTCTTACATTCCTTTTCCCCGCACGAGGCTCGAGACATTCTCTCCCGGCATGGCCGGTAAGAGCCGGGTTCCCGCAAAACCTTTGCTAGGTGGGAGCCCCGTTTTCTGAAAATTGGGTTGGAACCCTTGAAAAAGAAAGAAAAAAAGAGAACAAAAGAAAATGAAAAAAGGGGGTTCCAACCATCTTCAAAAAGAAAATAAGAGCACCTTGACAAATGTGAGTCCATGATCTTTTGTTTTTGAGAGTCTCTTCGTCCATGATTCATTTTTCCTCTGATCACTATTTGCCATGATGCCGACTCGAGACTAGCGTTCTCGCCGAAGAAGCTATGAGATGACTTGTGCGTCGGTTGACCTCGTAAGCTGCTAAATGATCTAGAAAATCCTCTATCAAGGATCGAGGGTGCATGTTGCTATAGAGGTCTGGAGAGCTGCATTGGTTTGAGTTAGGTTTGCTTGGGGACAAGCAAACGGTTAAGTGTGGGGGGATTTGATGACTCGATATTTGCACATGTTTTCCCTTTGTTTCTTGATCGTTTAAGCTTGCATTATTGCTTCTTTGGCCTATTTTACGCTAGGTTGTGTTCATTTGTCACATTTCAGGTCCTAGCACATAAAGTGAAGCGTAGGCGCAAGTTTCAAGTCAATCGGAGATCAATTGGCGACTCGGGGGAAGAAACTCGGGTATGAGTTGAAGAAGAAGGGATTTCTACCTCAGTTTGTGACCATATAATCATGTAATCTTGTCATGAGAAGAAAGAGGACGAGAATACGAGCATCTGGGATCAAACGCCACCTGATTTGGAGTTCGAACGAGGGAGAAACGAAGAATCAAAGATAGGGGAAAATTGGTTTCGGGCTTCTCTGAGAAACAGAAGGGGGCCCTATCGTGACACTAAATCCCCGGTAGGGGATTTTTGGCCTTGATAGGGGATTTTCCCCTGTCTCCAGACGTTGCGTTTTCAAAAATCCCCTATCGTGAACCAAAAATCCCCGGTCATGAACCAAAATCTCCGGTCGTGACCCAAAAATCCCCGGTCGTGAACCAAAAAATCCCCTGTCGTGACCTAAAATACCCTACCGGGTATTTTGACCGGGGATCGCGAACACAGGCTGTTAAAAGCCTGTTTTGTGCGTTTTTGCAAGGGAGAGCTGGGTTTTGGATCCCAAACACGCTAGGGACAAACCAAAGAGAGAGGGCGATTTGAGGGCATTCTTGGAGTAGAATTGGAGGATTTCTTTGCCTTGGAAGCTCGAGGAACAAGCCCGGACTTGAAGACTGATCATCTGAAGATTCTTATTGCAGTCTCTCTCTTCTCTATGGAGTAACTTCCCTTCACTTAGGTTTTGAGGAACCCTAGCTATGTTTGTTTGATTGGATGATTGTATGAGTACTCTGACTTGATAATCTTGAGTTCATATTCAATCTATGCATGTTTTCATGATTCAATTCTGCTTTAGTCGAGATTATTGATTCTGCTTTGATCCTATGAGAGGGAATACCTGATTAGGTCAATAGAGCACCATAGATTGATAGTAGTGGATCGATTGCTTTAGTCGAGGGTTGATTCACTGCTTTGTATCGATTGAGAACCTCTTTCGATAGAGGGAGTCTAGTTCAGAACGCCTTGATCAGTTGTTCTAGAGAAGGATTCGTCCCTCTAGGCAATTGACTCAAGAGGGCCTTGTTCCTTTAGTCGAGACTCAAGGTCTAGTCAAGGATTCTCCGCATTGTGAATGAAAGTGAAACAAGTTAGAAATCATCAATCGTTAGTCTGGCTAGTGGCTAGGGGGAATCATACCTAAGTGAGTTCCCAACCTGTAATTAGATTAACTTTAACTGTAGTTTGCTAGAGTAGTTTTAGTTCTTTCATCTTAATATGGTTTGCTAAATAATAAACTGAAGCTGAGTAATAGTAACTCTAGAGACCCGTGGATTCGATATTTATCACTTGAGCCACTATACTGCAGTCCCTTCCATTGGTTACACTTGGCCATTGTTAGGTGTTGTGTCATAGCGAGTCACAGGTAAAGTTCCCGGGGCTCGGATATTAGTTTGGCGAGCCATGCTACCCATTTGGTTTTGTAAATCTTGCAAAACGGCACCTTGGTTCCTCTGGCCTGCCTCCAGTGAGGCTATGCTCTGATCCATCCTCGTGAAAGTTGCCTGGGTGGTAGTCATGAATGCCGCTAGAATGTTTTTCAGTTCCGTTATCTGATTATCTGGAGCCGGGGCTGCTGATGGCTCAGCATACAGACGCTGAGGCTGCTGCTGAGGGACTGGCCCTTGTCTAGCCTGGAAAGGCTGCCTCTGCTGAAAACCACCTGCTGGTGCTACGAAACTAGGTGGCTTAGTGGTATTGCTATTCCAAGTGAAGTTGGGATGCTTGCGCCACCCCTCATTGTATGTATTGCTGTAGGGGTCAAAGCGCCGAGCATTAGCAATGAAGTCCAACTGCTCTTGGGGAGTAGTTGACTCCCTCATAGCCTGGCAGTCTTCCACCAGATGATTTGAGCTCTCACACCACTGACATTGAGCTACTGGAGGTGTAGCCAAACCTCTGCCCAGAATAAGAGTGTTGGGCTGCTTCAATGTCTGCACCAACTCGGCCACCTGCTGCTCGAGCCCGGACCTGGCCTCCATGGCGTGCACACCACGGTCCCTGCCCCCAGGAATGATCTCTGGCAGCCAATGTACTGATCATCTGGTTTAGTTCGGGTGGGGTCTTAGTAAGAATATCCCCTCCTGGGCACAGAGACTCAATCCCCCTCTGGCTGTCCGGAGAGAGAGCACTGCAGAAGTTCCCCACGGTGAATGCATCACTGAAGCCATGATGGGGACATTGCCAGAAAAATCCCATGTACAGCTCCCATGCATCACGAAGTGACTCGTCTGGCTCTTGGCGGAAGTGAGTGATCTCCCGCTGGATCTCTGTGGTCTTCGATGCCGGATAGTACCTGTGCACGAACTTGTTGGCCAGATCGTCCTAAGAAGTGATGGACAATGGGGGCTGGGTCTCCAACCACCTCTAAGCATTCCCCGCCAGAGAATGGGGGAAGAGGTGAAGGCGGATTGCGTCATCAGGGACACCGTTTAGCTTGAACCCGTTCGTCGGCTGCAGAAAACGGGAAAGATGCACCCTTGCCTCCTCATCCTTGAATAGGCGGGTAGAGGATGACCGGGCAGATGTCAGCAATCCGTGGAGTGTAGTAGTCCTCCAAGGTGGGACCCGACGGCTGTGGATGATGATGACCCCCATCTGCCTGACGTATGGGGTTGTTCCCCAAGATCTGATTCACCGGGGGAACCTGGTGTGGATTGTGATCTCCTTCCATCTCGTACTCGTCCTCGGACTCGCTGCTCAAATGGCCGTCTATGCCCTCCTCCGTAGCCAGTCTAGCTCGCTGTTGTCTCCTGAGTTGGCGACAGGTGCGTTCAAGCTCCGGATCCAACGACAGTAAACCCCCTGACTGGCTACGGGTCATGCACTACCTGCACACAGTCAAGTAGAAAACCCGTGAAGGCACAAGTGGGACAAAGCAAACAATGTGAAAAGAAAAGCTAAATTAACAGAATTCACGTTTCTTCAACAACCTAGCCGTCCCCGGCAACGGCGCCAAAAACTTGACTAACTCCTACTGTCACTCTAGAAAATGACCAAGTGTAACCACTTGCTAAAGCGTAGTATACCGGGTTTGGGTTTTAATGTCAACCTGTGTCCTAGATGTGATGACTACTCAGTGAATTCTTATTATCTAGCAGTGAAATTTTAGTGCAGGTTCAAACAAGCAAAGCAATTAAACGGTTGTTTTCAAGTCGAGAGAGGTCACTCGGATTTGGTTCCCCCTAGACTGCAGTTAAGCCGGATTGTAATTTATCAAGTTCAATTTCTATGATAGTTATACTGCGGAAGGTTCTTAAACAGTCTGAAGTCTCGACTAAAGGTCTCTAGACCCTCTCAATCTGAGTCTCCAGCGGGCGACTAACCTCCACCAGAGTAAATAGAATGAGGCCCTAACGAACAAAACCTTCGGTACATAATAGTGAATTGGCTCCTCGACTAAAGTCGCCAATTCACTACCTTCAATTAAGGGTGCTCTATCAACCTAGGCAGATATTCTCTTTCTAGGTTAAAGCAGAAACAACAGGAATTTGATCAGGATTCAAGTCATTCAATCATTCAAAACTCAATTGAATATAATCAAATCATAGAATCTGTACTTGGGTTCATACAATCAGACCTAACATACAAATCTAGGGTTCTCCATACCCAGATGAATGGGAAAACTACTCCATGGAGAGAGAAGCAAAAGCAGATTCAGATGCGGAAACCATACTGTGAAGGATGGGTTTCTGCTCCTAGTCTTCAATCAGCACTTCTCCAAGCTCAAGCCGGGCTCCAATGGTGACGAAGATCAAGCTGGGGCACTTGGGAACCCTGGTTCGTCGCTTTCTCTCTCTAGGAATCGCTATGTCTCTCTAAAACTCTGAATTCCTTCTCTTTTGGCTCAAATCTGCCTAAAAAGGGCGACCTTGGCCAAAACACGGTCGAGGACACGGCCGTGCTTTGGTTTCGCCCGCCCATGTTTTGTCCCGTGTTAAAAACACGCCCGCGTCGGCCAAAACACTGTCGTGCCTAAATATGGACACGACCGTGTTTTGCTTTAGGCGCGCCCGTGTTTTGCTTTTCCATCAGTTCAGCTCTCGGCAATAAAAACACTAGCGTGCCTGTTTGTGTACACGGCCGTGTTTTGGTTTAGGCCAGCCTGTGTTTTGGTTTAGGCCAGCTCGACCGAATGACTTCCAAATGCCCGGAAACTCGTGCTTAGCCTTTCCTTCGACGTCCGGGACCTGAAATATGATAAAGTAGCACAACCCGGCGTAAAACGGGCGAAAAATACACGACTACTAGCCGTAAACGGATAAGAACTAAGGGTGCAAACATGTGCAAATACATCTTTATCAGCAGCGAAGGTTCACGAGTAATAAACTGAAAGCCATAGAAGGAGAGGTCGCGCGACTACTCGCCGCGGGGTTGATCCGAGTAGTGAAATACCCAAAGTGGTTGGCCAACGTGGTCTTGGTAAAAAAGTCCTCCGGGGCTTGGCGCATGTGCATCGACTATACAATGATCAACAAGGTGTGCCCAGGGGATCCTTACCCGCTACCGCGCATTGACCAATTTATTGACGCCACTTCCGACCACCAGACACTGTCTTTCCTAGACATGTTCTCAGGATACCACCAAATTCCAATGTCCCGCGAAGATGAGGAAAGAACGGCTTTCATGACGCCATTCGGAAACTTCTGCTTTGTCGGGATGCCATTTGGATTGAAGAACGCTGTCGCCACTTACCAAAGAATGATCGACTCGGTGATTTCACAACAAATAGGGCGGAATATCGAGGCATACGTGGATGACCTCATCGTCAAAACCAAAATGGGCAACTCCCATTTGGAAGACTTGCGCGAGACTTTTGAAGCGCTTCGCAAACACAGCCTCCGCTTAAACCCCTTGAAGTGTGTATTTGGAGCGGAAGCGGGAAAATTTCTGGGATTTATGATCACCAAGCGTGGCATCGAAGTCGACCCGAAGCATATCACGGCCGTCCAACAGTTGCGGGCGCCGAGGAGCGCGGTAGAGATACAATCTTTGAATGGCAAGATAGCGGCCCTGGGAAGATTCATACCAAGATCAGCCGACAAGTGAGCCCCTTTCTTCAAAACACTCAAAAGCGGCACGCGATTTGCATGGTCCAAGGAGTGTGAAGTTGCCTTCTAAGAACTCAAATCATACCTTGTATCCCCCATGTACTGACTGCCCCCAAGCTTAATGAAAAACTTTTTTTGTACCTTGATGGGTCAACTAGAGCTGTAAGCGTGGTACTAATATCCAGGAGAGACAACCAGACTGAGCGGCCCGTGTATTGCACGTCGCGAACTATGGTTACCACGGAAACAAGGTATTCCCCGATTGAGAAAGCCTCCTTGGCACTGGTGACCGTCCTAACCAACCTTCCGCTATAAAAGATATTGACATCAATGGAAGTGTCCGGGCGGATGGGTAAATGGGCGGTCGAGTTGTCAGAATACAACATCCAATACGCTCCACGACCAGCAATAAAAGCGCAGATACTAGCAAATTTCATCGCGTAAGGAGTCACTCTCGATACAACACCAGAAGGAGTATGAGAGGTATACGTGGACGGCGCGGCAAGAAAACATGGGGCCAGAGAGGGTGTCGTCATGCGCACCCCGACAGGCGTCGTTCTCGAAATAGCGATCCGATTCAGAGTGTTGAAAACAAACAACGCAGCCGAGTACGAGTCCATATTGGCGGGAATGATGGCCGCCAACGATCTGGGCGCAAGAACGATCAGGGTGCTATCCGATTCTTCACTGGCGGTCAACAAACTGAACGGGACCTTCGACGCAAAAGAGGACACGCTCGCGCAGAACATGGAGCGTGTCAAACAACGAGCAAGTACCTTTGAAGCGGTGACCTATGTGCAAATACCAAGGGAGGAAACACATGCACGCAGACGCACTATCCAAGCTAGCAACTGCCACCGACTTCGAATCGACGCGCCTAGTCTCGGTTCAAAAAGAGGAAGAGGAAAGCCACCAGGACATCATGGTCAACACCAAACAAATAGTGCAGGAAGAAGACTGGAGAGTCCCAATCAAAAAATACTTAGAAGACGGTGTGGTGCCAAAAGACACTAAAGAGGCATGGACCCTAAGGCAGAAAGCGGCCCGCTGCACGCTCATTGGTGGGGAGCTGTATCGCCGGTCATACTCTGGCGTGTACTAAAAATGCATCAGGCAAGAGGAGGCGCGCAACCTAGTGCGCAACCTACATGAAGGCTTGTGCGCAATGCACACAAGGGCGCGTAGTATGGAACAAACTATCTTGCTGCACGGATACTACTGGCCCCGAGTGAAAAAAGACACAAAAAATACGCGGACCAATGCCACAAGTGTCAAGTGAACGCGCGCCAGCATCATCTACCGTCGACCGAGCTTCAAGGCAATCTGAGCCCATGGCCTTTCGTGCAATGGGGAGTGGATCTCTTGGGCCCCTTCTCAATGGCAAAAGGAAAGCGCAAGTACATAATCGTGGTGGTGGACTACTTCACCAAGTGGATCGAAGCGGAAGCACTAGCCTCAATAACGGCGCAACAGGTGACCATTTCCTAAAAAATAACATCCTTGCGCGATTCGGTGTTCCGTACGCGCTAGTATTCGACCATGGGAAGAAGTTCGACTGCGCGGAGGTGATAAACTTTTGCGACCAAGTGGGAGCCATCGCAAGATTCGCGTCGGTGACCTATCCTCAAGCCAACGGCCAAGCGGAGTTGGCAAACAAGGCAATTCCACACGACCTACACACCCGCCTTGATGAGGCGAAAGGAAATTGGGCAGACGAAACCCCCTTCGCCCTCACATATGGCACAGACGCGGTGATCCCCTTCGAGACGGCTGCACCCACCTATCGGATCACGATGTATGATGAGGAGAGTAATGACCAAGCGCGGCTACTGTATCTAGAGTTGGCACAAGAGTGACGGGAATTGGCAGCCATCAGGCTAGCCGCCACAAAGGAACAAGTAGCCAAGTACTACAATACAAAGCTAGTGCCACACAAGCTAATCCTCGGAGACCAAGTACTTAGGCGGAACTTCCGCCCCGACCCCAAGCATGGAAAAATTGCCTCAACATGGGAAGGCCCATACCTAATCCGCGAGGTTATTGGCACCAACACATTCAAGCTCAGCAAATTGGGGGCATGAAAATCCCAGGGACGTGGAATGCGCATAACCTTAAGAAATATTGCTGCCCCACTTGATGTGCATCTTGTTCACAGTAGCGCTTTTTGCGCGAGGAAATAATGCAAAGTTCCACAGAACACGAATAGCAATAATCATAAATTATTCGAGCCACCGCGCCACGCGCGCAAAACACACAAAGCGTTAATCATGAATTACGCGAAAGTTCGACACAACATGAATAGCAATAATCATGAATTATTCGTGCCACCGCGCCATGAGCGCAAACCACACAAATCGTTAATCATGAATTACGCGAAAGTTTGACAGAACATGAATAGCATAATCATGAATTATTCGCGCCACCGCCACATGAGTGCAAAACACACAAAGCATTAATCATGAATTACACGTCACACAAGAGTGAAAAGAGAAGGGAACTTTTGGATTTTCATCAAACGGGAACAAATATCGCACACCTATTGCCGCTACATAACATAGCAGTAAAACAAAATGACACACAAGTTCACAAAAAGATATTGACCTAGAACGGCTACACTTAATCTATCACTACGTTATCAGTGGTAGCCGTTCCAGCTTCCTCTTCCGCCGCCGCCTCAGCTTGCCCTTCGTCAGCATCCTCAGCTTCTCCATCCTCGACCCCCGCGTCTGTGCGCACCTCCTTTTCCTCAGCCTCCGGCTCAGAATCGGACTCTAAAGACCTTTTCTCGCCCAGCCACATTTACACATGTCGCACCATGGCGCGAGTGTTCCAGCGGATCCCCGGGTTTTCTAGTAGCACCTCTTGCGGACCGCGATCACAGCCTTAGTCATCCCATCCGCCAAAATCTTCCCAAAGGAAGGGGAAGATTTGTACTGACGGACTGCAGCAACCTGCGCTGCGCGCACAGCTTTCGCCTTGGCTACATCATGAAGGTGGACCAAATGCTCCTTCTCCTTCTGGAACTCCTCGCGGACCTGCTTCAGCTTCTCCGTGTGGTCTGCTTCCAGTTGTTTCTTCTCCTTTGTCCGCTCGTCCGCCAGACGACTCTTCTCCTCCTCGAACTCGCTCCGCAGCTCCTCCAGGATATTGTCCTGCTCCTCTGCCCTGACCCTCTCCTTCGCCGCCTCCACATCCTCCGTCAGGTTGCTTTGCAAAACTCCGAGCTGCTCCATAGCCTCGTTGGCTTTATTTGTCGCCACCTCCCCGAGACTCTCTGCTCCAGCAAGCTTGCCTTCAATTCGCACAATCCTCGACTCCTCCGCCTTCAGCTTTGCGCATTCCCGGGCTCGCTCCTACTGGGCGCGGAAAGTTGCTAGCAAACCCTACATTCACAACGCTAAAAGACTTAGCGAAATTCCATTTAACAAGTAAGACGGACTACACGTAAGATTAACCTAATCTTACCGCGAAATGAACCTGGGCCAGGTCTTGTAGCGGATCTGACTTCTCCAACCGCGAGGGGACGCTCAGCATAGCGCCAACCGCTCGCAAAGCATTCTGAGAGGCCAAACTGTTGCATGCCGCACCGGTGTGGATCCGCACTTCGTGGAAGTAATTGATCGCGGTGGCTCCTCCAAAACCGGGTATCTCCGGTATTGTCTGTTGGACGGTTGCCCCGGATGAACTGGCAGCCACCACCTTCTTAGGGCGAGGAGGTTTACTCACTCGCGCCTCCGGTTCAGAAGTCGCCAGAGGCAGCTGTTGCGCCGCCTGCGCGGATTGTTTAGTCACTCGCAGTGCCTTCTTAGGCCTCTCCTCAACCAATGGTTGCTCCACCTCCTTCCTCTTCGAGCCTCTGGGTTGCGCGCTCTCCTTCTTGTTCTTCTCGGTACGCAGAGCCCACGGAGCCTTCACGACGTCGTCAACCGACATCATGCTCACCAATGACGAGAAGTCGACACCTGCGCCAATAAGTCGTAAGACGACCGTTAATACAACAGAATGCAAAAAGAAAGAAATATAACTAACCATCAGCAAAGAGCTCATCCAAGCACGCCGCGCGGACGCCGCTGGAGTACAAGTTTATCCTCTCAGGCATGCAAGCCTCGTATTCCAAACAGTCGGCTCCTCCACATACTCACTGGCCCACTCCCCCGGAACGGGCTTCACGAAGAAGGACCGCTCAAACCAGTTCTTCTCCAACTTGGGGGACCCATACACGTAACCATCGGGTCGCTTGTCTCGCCGCCTGATGGAAAGACAGTCGCTCCTCTCCGTGGGCCCTTTTATTTTATATATCTTCCGGAACAGCCCGTAAGATGGTTGAATATTAAGCCTCTTACAAACGAGGCGGAGAGAAGACACGTGCATGATCACGGAAGGAGAAGGCACGCGACTGAGCAACCTAGATGCCTATACAGTGCGCACAACAGCGGGTCGATGGGGAATTTGAATCCCATCCTCCAATACTCGCAGTATACACCAAACCATCCTGGGGGGCAATTCCCAATCCGACTCCGCGCGGTGGGAACTGCATAGTGCCAATTGGGGGGCAACCCCAACCCGCGCACCAGCTCTGTCACTTCTCGCCGCCCATACACCGACACGTGGTCCGGTCCGCCCAACAGATTGTCACTCGGAACCTGCCCAGCGTCGAACATCTCCTCCCAATCCAGGATTGTATACCTGGCCCCTACCCCACGCACACCAGGACAACTCATCGCCTCGGTCACGCGGGAGACACAGAGCGGCTCCGACGATGTCTCTGATGTCTCCGGAACGTCAATAGGAGCCGTGCCAGTCCCACGTCGGAAAAGCCATGCAATGTGGTCGGAATCGACTCGACGTCGTATGACGGCATTGCCGAAGCGCCTCCTTCATCTGCTCCGCCGCTGTGAATGTGGTCGGAATCGTCCAGATCCAGTGACGGATCAGAAGAGATATGAGAAAGAGGAGAAAGATTACCTTCTTCGTCTGGTACGACCTCGATCTCGTTGTTCACATCAATGCTGGCCATGGTGCTCTGAAAAGTAACACGAACAATCTGGATATTTAAGGTCGTCAAAGAAGAAGAGGAATTTCGTTGGCAGAGAGAAACCAGAGAAAACGAAATAGAAATGGGAGAGAAGAATAACTCCTC